GGTTTCTGTTGCAATTATGCTTGATAGAGCAATTGTTTCCCTTCTTTGTTTTGTGTCTGGATGGGTAGCAGTTGGAACGATAATTATGGTCATTTTCTCAGGTATTGGAAGATATGGGCTTAGCAGGAGGAAAGTTTGCAGGTGTGTATCAGAAAATGTAGCAGTGACAAATATGCTTTGCAGGGGAACCCATCTACAGCCTTCCCCCCTACTCTTCAGCCAATAAAGATTCAGTTTTCTTATTTGAAAACATATTGTGCTCAGTAGGTGAGGGAAAGAGCTAATCAGGCTGAAAAATCTAGAAACATACAGAAAAGGAGCTTACTTCACCAGCTCTTCGACTGTAAGCAGTAGAACAGGGATAATGGAATATACTAGCATATTCCATTATTAGCTCTTATGACGGAGATAGAAGGAGCCTCCCTGAAAAGTGGGAAAACATTGTGAGTACACTCGGGCATCCCTGGGCAGTGGCATGCAGCTGGCAAATCCTTCAGTTCCAGAAGCATTGCACTGGAACAGCACCAGACCCAATCACTTCATGGATGCTGACCCCCTGAGAGATGGCTGAAGCTGAGGAAATATTTCTGCACATATCTCAAGCTGTGACCACTTCTGGTCAAGAATGGTCTTGATTGCCATGCTATTTTAATTGGTTTTTCATTTTGCCTATATTTCATGTGTGTCCATGACTTTGAATTGTGCAATGTTCTGATACAAAGAAAATACAATAAAAGACTGGCCATCCTGACTAGTGAGCTGAAGAGCAACAAGAGGAGGATCCCAGGTTCCCCACCATTGTGCTTAGACTTTAAAATGTTCTTTGTGCTAGGACATTTAAAAGGCCCTTTGGTTGGTTATGGACCATGTGCTGATTGGAAATGCTGGGTGTTGCCATCCCAACACATCTGGAGGGCATCAGGTTCATTGACAGACAGGCTTTCTTATGTCTCAAGTCATGACAGCATTTTCCTTTACTTGATAGTAATCAACTAAAAATTTTGAAGGCATTGAACTGTGGAAAATGTATGAGCTGTCAAAAACACGTTGAAGTCTAAATCTCCACATTTATGCATCTTGAACATCATCCTGGCTATCTCAACTTGGGGTGCAGCAGCCCTAAACAGTGTGATGCTATTCATTATTCAAACCCATCTCCCTGGTTTTTCTGCCAATAAATCCTGCCCTTTTGTGTTCTTTTTCTTTTACCTCAACTGATCAGCTATACTTTTTGTTTCTCATTGCATGACCGAAGTATTCCAATATTTCTGGATTTTAAAGATGTCATGATTTCTTGGCCTGTGTTCATTCACTTTTTGCATCTGTCACCCATTCACCCCAGGATATTCTTAGCATCCTATGATAAATATACATTTCAAATGCTTGTATCTTTTTAATGGTTGCTTCTATTTAAGTCTGCAATTCCGTGGCATAAAGTCAAACCGCAGATGCACAGCGTCAGACAGTATGTATTCTCAGAGCCAGATTTCTTGAATATTAATGCTTTTCTTAAAGAAAGTGTTCCAAGTGTTCTAATTTTTACTATGTTCATTAAACTAAATATCAACTGCTGATATTTGTCAACATATTCCAAATACTCATGTTTGAATTTGTAATTGCTTTCTTTTTCCCCTTGGGATTACTGCTTTTTATGGATTTTCATGAAGTTGAGTTTATCAACGCTCATCTTTAGGCTCTATCCAGTGCTTCCCTCATTAACTTCACTGAGTAATTTTGCATAGTGCCCAAATTTTCTGGTAGTAATATTGTATCATCTGTGTCTTGGATGGTGTTGATACATCTTTGCAGATGTTTCATTGATTTACTTCAGAAGATTGTACCTCTGCATTTTCTCTACAGAGCTGCAGCTGCCTAACTGAAGTTAAATCTAATTGTTGTAGATATGGGTGCAATAAAAGCCTGTTCAGTATCCTTTTTTGGGGGAGGTATGCTTGGTTGCAGAGTATGGCAGCCCTATCACCTTGTTGCTGTTTCTGTTGCCCTATACATCTTACAAACAAGAAGAGCCTTATGTATCTGTGGAGGTTTTCTGTGCAATTTGGAATACTGATTTCCTCCAAAATATTTATGGGCAATCTAAAATAACACATAGTAGAAGGCTTTGAAAGCTTAGCAAAGGAGCTTAATAGGAAACCAAGAGAGAACTTTGAAGTTACAAAAAGAAGGCATAAAAATATAGTTTAAAAAAGATTTTAAAAGCCTGTTCATTCCAAAAGAGATACAAAGCGTTTTATAGACCTATTAAAAAAGAAAAGAAAATTGATTCAGGACACCATCCTAAATAATTGTTTCAGCAAGAACATCACCATCAGAAAGCAATGTGAAAACTAGTCATGTTAAAGTGAAAGGAGGCAGTTAAGAGTGTGGAACTTATAGAGAGCTGAGAGAGTTAAGAATTATTACTAATCTAATGAATACATCAAAATCCGTGGACAACCTATTTAAGCGAACTGTAATCAATAAACTTGTGTTGTGCAACTTAATTTTTTTAAATAAATAGTCATGCAGTACATGGAAGGATCGTCTTCACTCTGGGACAGAATAAGTTAGTAACTACAGGTGGAGTAGTAGTAGCCAGACAATGGTGCACAACCAAACATGATTGGCTACCATAACATATTTTTTTTCACAGGTTTTAAAAGGGGGGCAAACTTCCATAGACATATTAACCATGTGGTAAGTTGCTTGACTGCATTCACACCCATAAGAAACTTGAGTGATATTTAAAATTCATACAGTAGTTGCAGTATTTCAGTATAATGCACAGCGTATGTCATCAGCATTTGCCATTTAAAGAGGAATCCTGATTGTCTTAAATGGTTTTACATGTAAGAATCCCACAGATGGTTCTTTTGCTTGTGCAGTTCTGTTTATCTGTTGAAAGGACAGTTGAGCATTTAGTTCGGCATTTCTGTTACAATTACAAAAGATATGGCTGGAGCCACAAAAGAATTATGCCATCTACTGGTATGTCTGTGTATTCTGATTTGGAAGCCCATCATGAGAAAAAATTAGGGCTAATTGTTTTACCTTTCCACAAAATCATTTGAAAAAAGGCCACTGATGTCTGCGCAGTTAAACCATAATGCTGCTAACAAATGTTTTAAGCATTTATAGCTTTGCATTAAATCAAGCATGTGACAGTGCCTAATCATAGAGGGTTTCAGAGAACAATGAATTCACTTAGCATAATATGAGGGTGACAAACTGTAATGAGCTTCCAGTAGCAAACAGCGCCTTTTTGCTTTCAGATGAAGAGTAAATATTGTGTCTGTGTAGTAAAATGATTCTGTGCTTGATCATGTTTCACAGGAAATGGATAGAAGGCTTAGCATGTGTTTTTCAGTTGTGTGTTTATGATGTAGTAAACAGTTTCAAAAATATTTTTCATAATCATTTCCAAGATGACACAGCTGGCCAAACAGAAATGATAGACTAGATTTATTAGCTGATCAGAAAACTTGCCATCATCTTAGAGATAGTTGCTCTGGGTCATCCAGTTCAGGAAGGTTGGAACTGAATTTGTACAGTGATTGCATATTTATTTCTTTGTAAGTTAGATTTGGATCTTACTTCTAGTAAGCTCAATAACAACAGGCTCACCTCCTCTTGATTCTATCCTCACAACAACCCAATGAGGTAGATCAGGCAGAGAAATACCATAGTGCATGCCCATGGCCACCTAGTGCATTTCATTACTTAATGGGGTTTTGAACCGAGCTCTCTTTACTTTACACTGGCCCTTATAGCATGGACAAATTCTAAAGCAGTGCATACTTGAATGTAACAATTAAGACATAGCACCTCCCATATATGATTTACAGTAGCTTTTGATGGGCAGAAATACAGTTCTCTGCCCATACTACAACTATAAAATTTGTCAATATTGTTTCCATTTTAGAGAAGGGCAAACGAGATCATAGTGTGAGTACAGCTTTCTTACATGGACTGTCTTCAATATTAAGGAATTACTTCAGTATTAATTCTAGGTTATGTAATTAACTTAATTGCTGAGCTGTATTCCCATCTTTCTGAAAAGAATTTAGGCAAAATTGGGACTTTTTAATCCAAGTAATGGGTTTAGGATAAATTGGTGACAGTCATAAAACATGCTGATCTCTTCTTGATTTTCTACTTCATAACAGTTATAATGTACCCTGCTGACCACATTCCAGCCACTGACAGAATAAAATCTCCATCAACATATGCATCAGGCTTTTTGTGCTGATCAGAGTGTGGATAGTTGAGAATAGCATATCCATGCTTAATTGTCTGTGTCGAGGTGAAGCATATGTGTTTCTCAGGAATGTGGCTGACCCAGAGTCAAATATCTTCCATTATTATTATTTTTGGGGCAGAAATGTCTATTTCCACTCCTGGAAGCTTCTAAGAATGGCAATTTCTAGCTTAGGGTTCTTGAGTTGGTTCCTTTCAAGATTTTCTCACCCTTCCAAAACCTAAGAATTGGAAGTGTCCGCCTTGCACTTTCGTATTTGACTCCTTGTTTTAAAATGGCTGTTTCAGACCACTTCCATGCCCAGTATATCCTGTGTTAGGATCTGGGGTTGAAATTGGCTTCCAGGCCTGCTGAGACCACCCTGGTTGCTCTGTATGTTCACTTGATATGAGCACAAAAATGGTCATATGAAGACTGTGTACATACATTTAAGGAATCAGATCTGATTTATTTTACCTGACATTGCAGTAGGTGCAAAGAATTTTGTATGACTATTGGTGACAATAAAGTGAAATTAAAGCTGTTGATCCAGGTGTGGTATAATAAATCACATTTTATATGTGATTATATGTGTATTCATGTATGCATTTAGCTAGCACTGCTGCTGATAATGATCAGGAGTGATGGCAAACTTGATGAGTATGGCAACTGTATGGAGCAGTTAAAAAGGTGCTTTTTGTTGGAATAAAGGAATAAAAGAAACATGTAGGTTTCGTAACAACCTTTTTTTTCCTGTCTCCAGCTGAACAAGCAACAGCTACATGTTGTGAAGGACCGCTTCTTGGCCTTTCTAAATGGAGAGACACAAATTGTGGCTGATGAAGCATTCTGCAATGCAGTTCGAAGTTACTATGAGGTACGTTGGGCATGTTTTTTCTCGATGTAATTTTAAAAATAGTGAAGGGCGTGACTGTGTAAAAAGCCCACTTTAAGGAAGTACTGTTTCATAGAAGTGTTTTCCAAACTCTGCCCTATGGTTTGTCCTGAGTTAGAGAGGCTGCTTTTTTAAAAAAAAATTAAAGCTTCCGAAATCTTGCACCCAGTGTTTGTTCTATGTGGCTGGCTGGGGCCATTATAGCAGACTTGCAGGAATAAGGAAACTTCTGGTGGTACCTGGGAATGGTGCAAGGGTTCAAGGAAGCAAGGATAGGTAATTCTTTGAGAGGCTTCAGTTTAGTTTAATAGATAGTGAGACTGCCATTGAGACTCACATGAACCCTTCTACCACTCCCAGACACCACTAGAAATTGTTCCCTTCTAGGAAAGACAGTATAATGGTGATGTCTTGCCACATAGTGATGAGAAAAGCTCCTCTTTACTGTTTTTGGGCTGTAGCTCTCAAGGTTCTGCCTTGAGAATTCCTGCTGAATTCTAGGAGTTGCAGTCCCCAAGAAACAAAAGTCCTTTGCTTTGTTATCACCTAATAAGCTCTAATTCCTTGGGCCTTTTGGTGACCTAATAAGGAATTACTTCAGTATTTATTTTGGATTTTTTATTTAGTTTTTTTAAAATCAAGATGACTAGCTGTGTTTTTGTTGAATTTAGAAGCCAATGGGCAGCTAAACTAGTTGAATGCCTGAAGAATATGCTCTCCAACTGTACAGGCTGTTCAGTGTGTAATAATTGTGTAAAGCAGACTTGCAACTAGAGCTTCACTACAAGTCTAATTATCAGTAAAAGAGTCGGCGCTTAAGGCAATTGTTTAGTTATGCAGTAATATACTTAAAAGAGGAGCAGCATGATGCTACTGTTGATGTCATTGATCTTGGCTATGAACCAGCTTATAATTGAAGGAGAGAAAAAGAAGAATTTGGTTAAATGGCATACTAGGAAAAATTGGGCAGAGGTAGCACTAGACATGTGACTGAAATCTGAAAGAGAGAGGGAAGCCTTAAGTGAGCATTCCCTGATGGCGGATCATGAATGTGTTTTGTAAAACTGATACATCAGAATGCTACTGCCAATTTAAAAAAATGCAAAAGGGAATAATATACTGTACATTCTGGCAGCAAATTACTGCTCATGAATGAGGTTATACAGTACTGTAGTTCCATTCCTGGGCTTGCATTTGATCATATCATCACATGCTTGCCCAGAAGTGTAGCCAGCACTTGATAACATGTAGCAATTTCCTGCCATGATTTAATGTGATTTCCTTTACATAGGATTCTGGCCATAGTGCGAGTTGAAAGACATTTCTAAGGTATCTGGTGGAGCTGTCCTGCCAGAACTGCTGCTGACAGTAGAATCAAAAAGGGGATGGTTCCCTTTAGTACCTGCAGCTCCTTCTGAACCCTCAAAACCTATCTTAGAGGGCTAGAAGACTCTCTAGAGCAGTTTTGACACGGGGAGTCATAAGGGAGAGGGAGGAGGAGAAAGTCCAGTTAAGCTACTAGATGAGGTAGGATTTAAGTCCAGTTTTGCAGATGAAATGTTTTTCTATTAACCACTTACTGGAATGACATTGTTTTTCCTTTGGGATGAAGCTTATTGGGAAACTGACAGTAGAGTCTTGTCTGTTTTTGCTTAGATTGTTTGCACTTAGGTACCTGTTATTTTAATCAAAATGAAACAAATGAATAGCAAGATTATGTGAGTATATAGATGTCTACTGCAAAGACACTAGGGAGAAAATAGGAAGGTTTACACTGTATATAAAAGTTTGTGTTGTTTAGCATTGATAGCATAGTGCTGGACGAAGGTTCAGATCCCTGCTCACGCATGAAACTCATTGGACAATCCACCTCCTCTCTTAACTTACTTTATAGATTTGTGCTGCTAAAATGGGAAGGTATAGCTATAACTATTGCACTGAGCTTTCTGAAGAAAGTCTAATATAAAAAAATCTTAAACATACTCGAGTCTTCTGAAAAGATAAGGAACAAAGTCAGTCAACCAAATGTAGACAAAGGGGGTATGTTCTTGAAATTTTTTTTAACTTTTCTGTGCCTCTTCACACTTTTTCCCCTGCCTTTTTGGTTTAGCTACAAATGTCAAGGGAGAATTTATGATTTCAGAATGTCTGAATCAGGGTGGGCAGTCTTTGGCTGCCTAGATATTTTGAACATCTAGAAACTCCTGCCCACATGGCCAGTGATAAAGGATGATAGGAGCTGTAATCCACATCAAGACAATGGTATGTCAGAACCATATTCAACAATACTTATATTCTTCAACCAAATTCACCCTGCTTCAGCTTGATTTTTAAAAACACAATAATAGCTGTTTGCACATTTAGACTGAGATATTGTGTGTCTGGTCCGATTCTGTTCAAATGAGCAACTGTATTCCGGGTCTTTAAGGCACACAAGCCTGCCACAGTTTTGAATATTTCCAGATGGAGAGCTCCTCACACAAGTAGTTAAAAAGCACTTTGCAACTTTCCATTCTTTTCTTCATCAGTTCTCTCCCACCCCCACACCCCACCCCCATGGTAAGGAAGAAGGTGAAAGAAAAGGTGGAACACCAAAGGAGAGTTACAAGTGGAGAAGGACATCATCTAAAATCATCATTAAATTCAGTGAATGAGGCAATATGCTGGCATAATAAAATTTTCCTAAGAAATTACTCTTAAACTAATTCTTAAGTAAAATAAGCAGGGCAGCAAGCTGAGAACCGAAACTGCAAAAACAAATCAGTGTGGCTGTGACTAAAAATGAAATAATGAACAGTGAAGTGTTAAATGTATATTATTTAGAGCTATTGCTGTTCATTAGTGTTCTCTGGAATTCAATGGAGAACAAATTGTGTCTTTAAATGGTAGCTAAGGAACTCTGACAGTAATAGAATTTGATATCGGGCAATGAGAGCAGGAGAGTGGGTAAGAGTCTGTTTAATTTACATTTTCCACTATGGTGCTTCAGTGAAAGGGCAAACTGGGAAATCAGGATCTTTATAAGTTTATATTCTCTTTAGAGTCTAAAGAAATGCAGTTGAAACAATTGTCCTTATTACTTCATATTCCTCTTGAAGCCTGCATTACAACCTCATCAAACAGGAAAGCTAAAAAGTTTCTTAGATTTTTCACTTCACTGGATTTGGCATGCCTTTAAAACATCATGAGTAGAGGAATTAGTTATTTGGTCTACTTATATTGAGAAACATTAAGGCTTGAACACGTCTATTTAGTTAGCAGTAACTACTTCATTGTAGAACTGGTCGCACTGCTTTATTTTCACCGTTTTGGAGTTGTTAGTGGGAGTTATTCAGTGCTCACCATTTCCTATGATAGAGAAAACATTTTGTTTTGCTCAAAGTCATTTTGCTTCTTTTAGGAACAACTTCCAGCAGCTGCTATTCTTATTGTACAATATTCAGAATTCCAGGCATTCCAGGCATTCCTTGATTTTTGAGGGAAAGAGGAATAATAAGTGGGGATGAGACTTTTGGAAGTTTTGGATTCCAGTGCCTAGAATTCACCAGAAATTCCTCAGGCAGAATTTTGAGAGGTTCAGCCCAGAAACAGACATCTGCAAACTAGCTTTCCTTGCTTCCATCTCTATGTGATTTGGCCTGTTCCTATTTTCAAATAGAAGGAAAGTGTTCTGGTGCATCCTGGGAGGCCTAGGTCTAGGAAGCAGCGGGATATTTTCATACCTTCCAACCTGGTTTGCAAGACTCTTTGCAAGACTCTGAAGAAATATGTCCTTCTCAGACCCAGTAAGGCAATGCTTCCCAACCGTGGGTCCCCAGGGCTACAACTTCCAAAACTCCTGGCCAGCACAGCTAGTGGTATAGATTTCTGGGAGTTTTAGTCCAAAAGCATTGGGGGACCCAACCACTGCTATAGGGTATAAATCATCATTTTCCAGGAGTCCTTCTTTGTGAAAGTATGTTCCTTATGTATTACCTTACTTATTACTTTTAGTTGATTTCTGAATTAGCTATTTACAAAGTTAACTGAAAAATAAAAAAGCCAAAAATATACTAAATCATCCTCTCACCAATAATCTTATAATAGCAAGTAACTACATTTTTAATGTATCAAAAGGGGACATTACCATTCACTGTTTTATTTTTGCAGAAATTTTAATGCCCTCCTTATACCTAAAACATGTTGAAAGCAATGTTGTCACATGTTGCAGCTAATGCTTGAGGTATGGGGCGGGCGGGAGGGAAGGAATAGACATCCTTATCTAAGGGCTGATTCACTGTTGCCTTCTTATGTATTCTTGTGTAATGAAATGCATGTTTGTGCATACATGTGCTGTCCACATCATGTACACATAATAAGGAAATTATTTTAGTGAGGTATGACATGTTGCAGCTAATGCTTGAGGTATGGGGCGGGCGGGAGGGAAGGAATAGACATCCTTATCTAAGGGCTGATTCACTGTTGCCTTCTTATGTATTCTTGTGTAATGAAATGCATGTTTGTGCATACATGTGCTGTCCACATCATGTACACATAATAAGGAAATTATTTTAGTGAGGTATGTCCATATACAGTGGTGCCTCGCATAACGTTTTTAATTGGTTCCAAAAAAAA